AAAAATAATGTTTATGGGGCCAGCAGATGGCATGGTGGTTAAAGATTCCCACATGGCTAGCCATGGTTTGAGTCCCAGATATAGCAGCTTGAAAATCATGCCAGTTAGGACTAGGAGGCGGCATGGTGCTTAAGGTGCTGAACTCCCACTTGGTTGAGTCCTGGACCCAGTATCTCAAATATCATGTGTACATGTATGTCCAAATCCCAAGAGAATACTGGAGAAGAGCTTGCGGTGTGGCCATTACACTTTCTGTCTCTCTAGTGAGCACACATGCCCTATAGTAAAAATCTCTCCAAAAAAAAAAGAAAGAAAGAAAGAAAGAAAATCATGCCAGGTATGTGTGCATGTGTGCCCAAAATCCTGAGAGGAGGATGGAGGAGAAGGGACTGCAGTATGGCTATCCTTCCTGTGGGGTGACTTCTCACTTTCCCTCTCTTTGTCTCTTTATTTCTCTCCAGTGAGCACATGTGCTCTATGGCAAAAACCTTTTTTTAAAAAAAAGTTTATACAACCAGATCTGATTATACAATCCCGACTACAAGTAGCATTTTTTGGTGGGGGAGGGGGGCTGGCACAGCACTGAGAAACCAGTAAGGCTGCCATGAATATGACAGAACCAACACATCTAACTGTCTAGAAGAAAGTCGGGCAAATGCTAGGATTATTTTTATTGTATTTCTGTCAAGACTGATCATTACATGTTTACGAACTGGCTGTGTTTTCTCTTGTGACTTATTTGTTCATGTCCTTTGCCCAATTATTTAGTGATCTCCTTAAATTTGCCCACAAAATGTCATCACATGATGCTGATTAAATCTAACCACTTCTGCATATGCTAGTGTAAGCTATTCCAAATCAATATGGTTTTTTTTTTTCTTATTTTGGAGAGGTTTTTGCTATAGGGCACGTGTGCTCGCCAGACAGACAGAGAAAGACAGAGAGACAGAAAGCGAGAAATCACTCCCCAGGGGGGATGGTCACGCCGCAATCCCTTCTCCTCCATTCTCCTCTCAGGATCTCAGGCACACATGCACATGCACCCTGCGTGAGTTTAAGCCACCGGGTCTGGGACTCAAACCGCGGTCGACTACATAGGAGTCCAGCGACATAGCCATTCCACTAACTGCTGGTCCCTATTCCAATATGTTTTACCCACCTCCAGGTAGGGGGAAAGGAAAATAAGAGTATCCTGAGAGTAATTCCAGACAGGGAGTTCCCTCCTGTGTGACTAAGGAGGAAAGAAGTACCTGGCTGCATGGCAGTCATCCCCGTTTCCACGGCTACAGTGGGGGAGTGCACCCCACTGTAGTAAATCAGGAGTTCCACATCTCGATCAAACTTGTGTCCATCAGCCAAGGAGACCTGAGCAGGGGACAGGCCAAGTAGCCACATTAGAACTGCCTCTGTTTGCTTCCTGGGGCTGAAGTCAAAGGAGAAGGCTCTGGGCATCTTCCAAGGGTGAGCTGATCGGGAGGCAAAGGTGACGATGGAGAGAAGGCTCTGGACATGAATGGGCTAAGGCAGGCTCACAGCGCAGCTCCTTCTGGGTTACAGGGAAAAGCAAGGAACATTCGGGAAGGACCGGGTCAAGTCGGAGGAACAGAGGTGCTGCTGACAGTAGAGCTCGCTCACTAACTACCTGAGCAGCGGTCTTGTCATCTCCCAGGTACTTGACAGGACTCAAGGAGCAGTTGGACTGCACCCTTTCAATACCGTGCTGGGAACTGATGGTGGCGACCATGCTGAGTGTGTAGGGCAGGTCCTCCGGAGGAACTATCGGAGTCTTCATGTTAACACAACAGTCCTTAGTCCTTCCTACAAAGGTTACCTGAGTTCAGTTTTCCTGCCAACACTTTTTAAGGTAACAGCAACCTTAAGAGTTCCTCAACTATGTCACCACCCCCGGCATTCAAAGGGGAGCAATACTCACCAGAGAGCTGGTACCTAGGATTCAGGACGGCCGGGAGCACACAGTGTAGGGCCCCATCTGCTTCCAGGGTCAGCTCCTGCACATACCGCAGGGTGAGTGCGGCCTTTGACCCAGGCTGGAGGTTCCCTACATTACAACAGAAGACGTCCCTGGAGTACCCATCCTCCTCCAGCAGGAAGGCCTGGTGGCCCTGGGAGAGGGCATTCTCATAGTCAGTGTGGGCCTAAGGGGAACAGAGTGATGGGTGGGGAAAGAAAAAGTTAACGTTCAAATTTACCATGGTGGTTAAGAGGTGAAGAGTGCAGGGAACTAAGACAGGCGGGAGGGACTGGGACTGTCTCATCAAGGACACGGCTACACTTCGAATGCTTCTAACTTGACCTTCATCTTGTCCTGTAGTTCTGCCACAATTTTCTTCCCATCCACCAAGGCCTCAAAGCTGTAGACAGCAGAGTCTTCATCCATGGGGAACACGAAGAAGGTCTCCAGAGGAGCCTTCTCCTCATTCTCGTAGTGTAAGGTTGCAGACACACCAGCCACGAGCTCATAAACAGACAAGGTGACGGAAATGCTCTTCAGAGGCACTGGGGACAGAACAGAATTCCAGCGTAAACAACAGAAAGCCTCACTCAGGCCGGGCACTGGGTAGGATCCAAAGATACAAGGCAGGGAAGTCTTGAACCAGGCTTACCTGGGTCCTTCTGGAGGGTGAGGAGGCCACAGGGAGACACCATGGTGATGCAGTGCTTCTGCTGAAAAGACACATCACAGACAGAGTGATGTGGTAGAAGCCATCTACTCAAACACCAGGACCTTACGAGCTCCTCTCTGGCCTAAAAATACATCCTGAGGGTTAATGTGGGAGCTGGGACGGGAGACCAAGATCCCAACTCCTCTGGAATATTGAATAGTTATCAGTACACCCCTGAGCCTCGGTACACTCCTTTTAAAGCGAGAGCCATCACACCTACGCATCGTATGTGAATTAATGCATGTGAAGGCCCTCAACAGTACCGGGCACAGAGGCGTGTAATCCATGCCCTAGACGCCGGGACTGCTCCTGCTATCCACTGCTGTTCTGGAAATCGCTGCTGGGCCTGCTTTGGCTCATGCTATTCAGAGACTGCAGATGGGAAGCTGCGTGCGATCCCAACCCACTCCTGGAACTTAGAACTCTTCCTCTGGGGCTCGTAACTGAATCCACTGTCGGTTTTCTCTAAGATATTCTAATGCAATTCTTACATAGGCAACATGCCCTCTATTTTAAATCAGGCTGCCCTAAACACAGCTCCCAAATTTCATCATAACCCAACACAGCCATTTCCCATGATGTGGTGACAAGTAGATACACTTGATGTTTCCAGGTTATGATTTACATTACGCTTCCTTTATCCAGATTCTGTAGGGAGAGGGCTGGGCCAGTGACCTAATGCAATTCTTACATAGGCAACATGCCCTCTATTTTAAATCAGGCTGCCCTAAACACAGCTCCCAAATTTCATCATAACCCAACACAGCCATTTCCCATGATGTGGTGACAAGTAGATACACTTGATGTTTCCAGGTTATGATTTACATTACGCTTCCTTTATCCAGATTCTGTAGGGAGAGGGCTGGGCCAGTGACAGCCCCGACCACTCTGAGGGGCCTCTCCATCCCTGTCAGTGCGTGCCCTGATCTGTAGCTCCAGCACAGGAAAGGGCGTGTTCCCTGCAGACACACCTTTGGGAGCTGCATGGCACTGCCAGCGCACAGAGGATGCAG